CGTCGAAAGTATTCGTTTCTGTAAGAAAATAAAAAATACGTGTCTTATGATTTAAAATAATCTACCAGACGGACAGTACAATAAAAATTAGGCAACTAGGTACCCTATTCTGTTGTGTTCTGTTGCACTGCTACATTTAAAGTAATTACCGTTACCGTAGCATATTGACGTACCTACGAATTGCGGTCATTAGCTAATAATATAAAAGACAGTGTAATGTGTTTCCTGCACCTAGTGCTATGGAGACTACATAAATATACACATATTGAACATTCCACGTTGAGTTTCTCTTCTCTTCGAGATTTCCTTTATCGACTTATTACGAGGGCTAGATAGTCCAATCAAGTTATATGTCTCCTTTTTAATATTTTTGTATCTTGTCTTAACTTATTTTTTTTAACACATAACATTACATAACATCACGCCTTTTTATTCTCGAGGGGGTAAGCAGAGGTGCACATTATGGCACTTAATGCCACCGTACAATGTAACACCCACTTTTCACTATTTATCTTATCAGTCCCATGTAATAGGGGCATATGAGCATATTGCCATATATTCAGGCACACTTCCAAACTCCATGCTACTACTGAGATTTGTAAAAACCCAGGAATACTTTGCCCGACCTGGGAATCGAACCCGAGACCCCTTGCCCGGCAGTTGCACTTGCGACCACTCGGCCAACAAGGCAGTAAGAGCAGCAGTTTTTTTTTAACTGTATTATTTTAATATTTTTTTACTGTAAGCCCATGCTTTTGTTAACCTTGGGATATGTCAATTAGCACACCCTACATAAGGGATCACTAGAGAGTATATGGTAAGACACAGCCCTCTAGTTACTCCCTTGAGAAATATCGGGTGCCATGTCAGTTTAGACAATGTAAAACTAGAAACCAAAAATCACCACTACGACAGTCAAAAAACACTAAAGGATATACTTCGTCCCATCTACTTTAAAGAGCTTAGTAAGCGTATCCATTTTATTAGACAGTGCGGATTCGAACCCACTGACTCATCGATTCCGTGGTAACGCCCTTTCCATGTCATCCGGCAGAGGGATGGACTTTTCCAATCCATACGGTTGATGAGAATGGGTTGTAGAAAAACTCAATGTCCTCACATTGAGTGGGACGATTTATTTCAATGGTTTGAAGTACTACCCTTATGTAAATGATTATTAACCCGTAAATGCATAAAGTAATCAATTTCCATCGTTAAATTAAGAATCTTATGTAATAAAAGCACTTTTCCTACATGCTGCATATTTTGTTATTTTAAAATCTATAACCAAAAATATTCCATGCAATTATGGGTTAATATTTTGATAGATTTTCTAAACTAATTTAGGTAAATTTTTCACATGTGCCACACCTTTTAATAACATCTAACTACATTGCATTAATTATTTTAAAATAAGTCATGTAATAAGATGAGCCTATTTCTAAAGAAATAGACAATAGTACAATTCCAAACTCCGTGCCGATCCTAATAATGATGAAGTTTTTAAAAAAACCAATGAATCCCGTAGAAAACTTGCTCCGCATTTGCACTTTCGACGAGTCGATAAAAAAGGCGATCAGTGTTTTAAATGCCTATAAATAATATGTCAAAATACTACAAATCTACGCCTCTCTAAACACACAAACAAAAGGTGTAGGGACAGCAAAAATATCTACCGTTTCGAAGCAGGTGTACAATAAATACATATAAACCGTTGGATTACAGCAGTCTGACGTGTGCGTTGATGTGGGTGCGTACCGTCAGCAGACATATTAAAATCGTACATAGGTAATGTATCATTTAAAATGGGTACTTGTGTTTGTTTCATTGTCTAACTTCTTTGTTTGAGGTGAGCTTGTTCCATGAAGGTGAAATTTAATAGCGTCGAAGTTCTCTCCGAAAACTGGATTTCTCAGCAATCAATTGTGCAAGTGACTAGATAATCAGTTAGTTTGTGATGTGTCTAAATGTAACTTAAGAGGTATTTAAGACGATACGGAGCCGTGGAGGACTTAACGCGTTGCCGGGGCTCCGACTCGAAGTGCAGGAGTAGGAACGGGGTGGTTTTTAGTCAGTAAAAGTCCGACACTCACACGACAAAGAGGTTAAGAGATTGAAGTTCAACATACGTCTTAGGTATACTAAAGTACAGAAAGTATAGTCATAGCATTTAGTTATGCGACCGGTAATGCTTAAAAAACTATTGCAGCAAAACACTTTATTCACAAAACCCAACTCTAAATCTTAATTAATAATAAATTAACCACAAAGTTTTAAATCATAACAGAACCAAATACATAAGTAAAGTACTTGGAAAAACCGGAGTAAACAACAGCCAGCCACATCTCGAATTAATGGCTGAATGTTATTTTTTTGTGGGTACATTGCAAAGCGCATTCGTGTGCGTATCTATTCATCATTTAATTTACATTTGAGCGGCCGCAGCGGCGCGGTGCAGACGTTGCTGTGGAGCAGAACACAGTTCGGTCCAAAATTGTAGTTGGCTTTTTGGTTTAAAATATTTTTTGTGAATTATTTAATATCAATAATAACTAGGTACTGTTTCTACTCGAGAAGCCTTGACTGTCAGGGTATGAAGGTTCCGAGTCTTCGATTCTTGGTAATTTTTCGGTTTTCGAATTCTTCAGTAATGTCATGGAATTTAAAACCGTGTCAGGCATTATTGGTTATACTCCTACATAGGCCTGTAAAACGAGAAACTACAGGTCAAAAGATGGCATAACTTCAAGTAATGATAAATATTATATGAAATTTTATTGGGTGAAAGATACGAATCTTTATACCTACCTAGCTAGCGACCCGCCTCGGCTTCACACGGGTCCAATATGCATGTATTATACATATAAACCTTCCTAAAGAATCACTCTATTAAGATACTGTATTTAAAAGAACCGCATTAAAATCCGTTACGTAGTTTTAAATATCTAAGCATACATAGGGACAGACAGACGGCGGTTGGAGTTTGTTTTATACTATGCAGTGATATATCATATCAAACAAATAAAATATTTTCAAAATAAATACACAACAATTTAATCCAGTTACCAAGTCCGTACAACGTGCAGTGGAATCGCGCGCTCTATACGTTTTTGTTTCAACATGAATGTGTAAAATATTAGTTGGGAATCGATGGGTTCGACTCCCAATTCGCGCCTTTTGCCGCCTCGCCACAAAGGCCTGACGTATAGCTATTGTGTTATTATATTGATAGCGAACTATTTTATCTTTTGTTTTTGTCTCTTTCAGACATGGAATGAAGGAATTTGGAAACCAGTAGCCAAGAGTTATTTGTATTTTTGAAAAAGATATTTTGTGACATTTTTCTGGAGTTTTTCGTTGGTTGTGAATTTATATGGTGGTCAGTTCTATGGTGGGTTTGACCTGCGAATACGAAAACCACTTGATATCGGAAAAGTTGTGCCATCATCCGATACTTAATATGGTGAATAATCTGCAATCATTCAATTATACAGCATGTCTTTTAAAAACAATATTAAACATTCACAACACCAATTAAAACTAAGAATAAAATTCACCTCACAAAGCGTCATTTATTTAAACCTTTACACATGTAACAGAACGAAACAGTATTTTATATAAAATGTAGATATGTTATATACTAGTACATAGTCACGTTATGTAAAATAATCAAAGAATATCAACATCACATCGATTTAAGAGGCAAACGTTACGCATTATTGAATACCTAACGACTATGACCAATTCCTTTTATACATTAACTATAAGGCATAGTTCACAATAAATGAAACCGTCAATTTCATTCTCTCTGCCTCATTGGCCGAGTGGTCGCAAGTGCGACTGCCGGCAGGGGGTCTCCGGTTCAATTCCCGAGTCGGGCAAAGTATTACTGGGTTTTTCTCAGTGGTAGCTAGGAGTCTGGAACTGTGCCCGGTATTTGGCAATAGGCTCACCCCCTATTACATGGGACTCATATCATAAGCAGTAAAACTGGGCGTTATATTGTACAGTGGCATTAAGTGCCGTAATGTGCACCTCTGCCTACCCTATTATATATACCCGAGCGTACGGCGCGTAGCGTTCCGCGCGCGCCTCAAAGAGCCATCAGACCACCACAGATGGGGCCCAATAGGGCCGATGCCGATTCGGAGTCGCGGAGAACCTAACGGGTAACCGGGGCTCCGGCTTGACGTGCAGGAGAAGGAACGGGGTGGTTTTTAGTCAGTAAGAGTCTGACACTCCCTTCCGCCTCACCCAGGCGGGAGCAGTCATTCGATGATTTTCCACCCTTAAAAAAAAAACCCTATTATATATGGCAATAGGCTCACACCTATACCGGGCACAATTCCAGACTCCGTGCTACTACTGTTCACTGATTTTTTAAAAAAAACCCAGTTGTACTTTCCACGACCGCCAATCGCATTTATGACCACTGGGTGTTCTCCAAAGTGCCCCCCTGTCAGTACAGTTGCAACTCAATTATGAGTCTTATAGTCTACTGAGTGAATCCATATTCAGCACTACTTATGAAAAATAAAAGTGTAAATTGAAAATAACGATAGAAATATTTATAGACTTGATCGGATAAACATACCGTCAACTGTGAAGCCTACGCCTAACGCGACTAAACACTCGATCCTGCGTAATGTGAACTAACCCTTAGTAGAACAAATTGAAACAAAATCGCACAGCATAACCAACTAGTGCACAAAATATCTTAAAACAAGATGTCGTGTGGTGTCGTGTGTGTATTTATTATTTTTGTAAGTCAATTGTGGATAATAGTAATAACGTATTTATAAGTGTAAGGTTTCTTTAAGGCGGGAACATCATCTAATGACTTCTCCCACCTGGGTGAGGCGGAAAGGACTGTCAGATTCTTACTAACTAAAAACCACCCCGTTCCTTCTCCTGCACTTCGAGCTGGAGCCCCGGTAACCCGTTAGGTTCTCCACGACATAAGTGTAAGAATAGAAACGTGTTTTGAAGATAACGAAAGAATGAAGCCTGATAGAATAGAATGGAAAACAGATATATTGGATAAACATAAAGCAGCTTTAGATGAGGTTATGAAAAGAACGATGAGTAATGAAAATAACTTAAGTGATCTAGATACAAAATAAAACCTTACTTATATTAGAAATGTTAAAATTGGTGTTTTTGTGTATCTATTTGTTACTCAATCACGTAACACGGCTGAAGGAATCGGGATAAAAGCGTAGATTTTGTTCTGGAATGAACACATAGGGTACTTCTTATCCCACGACAACACTGGCAAGAGCTAGTAAAATATAAATTAATTCGTCTCCCGGCTAAGCGAACTGTCAGTATGTTTTGACTGGAATCGTCTCATTAAGAGAGTAAAATATTTTCATTGAATAAGCAAAAATACTTGTGTTGTGGAAAATATTGTTGGTTATATATTTTAAGATTAGATAAGGTACATGTTTCTTCAAAATGAAGCGATGGAATTTGATTTGTGAACACGTAATTTAATTTGCCCGTGAAATGCCATGACATTAAATTCGTAATCAAAATGAGTTTTCTTGATAACAATACTTTTCTTGTATATATACTTGAATGTTCTTATAGGTTCGGCACAAAGGTTAAGGTCAACTTAAAAAAAAACACCTATATAAATTAAGAGCAGATAATTAAAAAACAATAATTCAAATAAAAAGAATCCGTTATGAGGTGATCCAACAGAGAACTAAAGTTACCGACGTAGAAAGGACTGGCATGCTAAAATGGCAGGGGACCGGTCACATTTGTCGAAGAACCGATGACCGTTGGGGTAGACGTGTTCTGGAGTAAAGACCGCATCTAGGCAAACGTAATGTACCTCTAGGGTATCCTCCAGCTAGGTCGAGTGACGATATGAACAAAGTGACTGGCAGTGGTTAGATGCGCAGAGCTGAAGATCAAGCTCAGTGGCGTGCCATTGGAGTTGCCTATGTCTGACAATGAACGAGAACATGCTGTTGATAGTGATAATGAACCCAAATTCTTATGTGACTTTTTTAATCACTTTGTACAATCATCCCATTTTATTTCATTTCATACAAATGAACTTCATACCTCTTATAATAACTATTTTGAGACATACTGAATTAACTAAAAAATGCGAGTTACTCACGTGAATGTACTGAGAAAAGCTCTACTAGTTTTCTCATGAGCAGCGTGCAAGCGACCCCGCACGCTGCACTCAGTACATTCACGTGAGTAACCTACGATTTTTAGTTAATTCATACCACTTCTAAACTTTATAATAAATTTCACACATAATAAAAGGTTAAACTCATTTCCAGGTCTGTCAAAATGGAGTATTACAATTATCGAATGCTGAAGAAAATGCTACTACAACGGCTGAACAACCTACAACTAAATCATCTACACAAGAGTCACCTGCACAGGATTCACCTGCAGAAGACTCAACACAGAAACCGATTGCACTGAATGCAACTGCACTGAATGCAACTACACAGGACTCACCTGAAGCAGATTCTTCTACAAAAGACCCTAAACAAGACCCACTAACAGTGGACCCACCTGCATCAAAATCCCCCACCAAAGAAGGAAATACGACAGAAAACTTAAAACAGAATGATGAAGAAGTTGTGACGTCCAAAGAACCACCAAAGTTAGTATCACTTGTGGAAGATGAATTACCAACACAAACAAAAAATGATAGTAAAGTTACACCCACAGCAATATCGCCACAAACAGCAGAAGATGAAACAAAAATAGAAGATACGTCGTCTACTAAAGCAAATAGCACTGACGCTTTATCAACAGCTTCCAAATTAAATAAAGATACTACAACCTCTACAGATAAAGAATCAAAGAAAACTGATGAAGATGAACCAGGTACAAAAGACGCTGAGAAAGTTAAAACAGAAATAAAATCTGTCAATAAGGAAAACAACGATGTAGAATTGAGTACTGCTGCACCTCCAAAAGGTATTTTGGACTTCAGCCTTTTTGGTTCTGTTATTAGTAAGTCCTATTTTTTCATTTTGCCGATAGTGGGTTAGCTACAAAAGGACTACCTACATTTTTATTCCATAAAGAACATCTTAACTCAAATTAAAAGTTACCTCGCAAATTATATCGTATTCTGGAGTGTTAACCAAGTTCTAGGCAAACGTAGCGTAGGGCAAGCTACAGCTATGTAGAATAACGGCATCCAGGACAGGGTGGCTGGATGCAAAGACCAGAATATTGAGCGCGGTAGCATGATTTAGGAAGGACCTATGTCCAGCAGTGGGTAAAAAAGGGTTGATAATGACAATGGTGATAATATTAATGGTCACTTTTTATTTAATTTATTTTCTTATAACTATTCAGATAACGAAACCCCATATCGCAGAGCTCCAATGAGCTATGTTGGTAAGTAGTAATCAGTTCAAATCATCGTATTCATCGTCATTAGCTGCAGACGTAGTACGTTCAAGACTAGATAGTAACTTTAATTTTTCACACCTTGTCATCATCCCTATTGCTTACTTTTTAGACATTATTTTTAATGACCTAACTTAGCCGTCTGGTGACAGTAGGGTAGAATCCGACTATATTGACTACATATGTAACAGATAGCAGGCAGTGGCTTTCTTCGGTGTACGTTTTAAGTCGTGATCTCCATCCAGTGTGCTTTTTTTAAGGGGAAAATCATGCCTCGCCTTGCGTGAGGCGAGAGAGAGTGTCAGACTCCAACTGACTAAAAGCCACCCTGTTCTTACCTCTGCTCTTTAAATCGAAGCCTCGGGAACTCATTAAGTCCTCCTAACTCAGTATGTAGTTTATGGCAAACTCCTCTTTTGTAGAGGGGGCTCATATAGAATAGCAATCGACTCTCGGGCTGTTAATGACCGAATGAAACTTTTTTTCACAGAAGTTCGAGACGACATTGAAAGGGTGGTTTCCAAAGGCGTCGATTCAGCGAAGGATATTGCAGGTGGAGCATACAATGTGATGAGGTCTGCCTTCTCCAATGTTATAAAAAAATAGTTATCTACCTACAGCTATATTTTTTGTTTATGCGACACCTAAATATATCGTTAATGCTTAATTTTGATTAAGTGACTGAGCCAATTTTTTAATTTTTATTTTGGTCTATACTTACAATAATTAATTTAATAGATACCTATATCTATTCCTAGCAGGGCCCCCAGTGAAGTGACTAATGAGAATAATTGTATTAAATGTTTTTTGATTAATCAGACCATACCAACTTTCGCCTATACAGGTGTAGTTTTGAAACCGTGTCATTTCTCGGGGGCTTGTCACAGAAGTCTCAGAGGTTCAATGTAAGAGAAAATTTCGGGCCAGTAGTTAAAAATACGGTTATAATAAATCGTTTAAATTCGACAGTATTTCAGAATAAGCGACAGCAATGTTTCTTATTGGAATTTTATGGAATTAGGAATAATATCAATTACGTGTTTGAGTTTGTGTGTGTTAAGCCGCGTTATAAAGCTAGTTACAAGACGGCGGCGTGTACTTCGCACTTACGGATTTCCGTAATTTCAGATAAAATATAAATATTTACCTACAATTTTTTTATTGATTCGGACTCAGAATCGATAGCCGAGTTACCTCCTAGAAAATGACTCGGCTTTAAAACAACACCTTGTATAGATCTACCAACCAATAACTACATGGTTCAGTTTTAAAATGTTGTCTATAGATTCTTTACAAAAAATACTGGATGTGTTTTTCTTGTTTTGCATTAACAAAAAATATTTTTGTATGTTAGTCTGTAAGTTCAACTGATCTAATTATGTGTAAATAACAAAATAAAATGAAATTTTAACTATAAATTTGTTTTAATACCTTTTAACTATAAATCTCTAACGCCTTTTAACTACAAAGCAACAGACTGGATACGTGTCCAGTCAGTTGGGTCTGACAATGGACCATGAGTATAAAATTTTAATAAGACAGTTTGTTCATACGTTCTCAGTATTTATTTTTGATTAGCGTACAAGTAGTTATAATTAACTAGCTTCTGCCCGCGATTTCGTACGCGTAATCCCATTTTTTCCCGTCCCCGTTCGTGATTTTCGGTAAAAAGTTTAAAAAAAAACTTTGGTCAAAAAGTATCCTATGTCGGTCTCCTGGCTCTAAGCTACCTCCCTACCAATTTTCAGCCAAATCTATTCTGCCATTCTTGAGTTATAAGTGGTGTAACTAACACGACTTTCTTTTATATATATAGATTTCGCATCGATTGTCAAAATTAAAGCATGTCAGGAAAAAACAAGGTAAGTGCGTGTACGAATGGTGTATTCAGTCTCCTCTCAATTTAAAAATAAGTAAGTACCTAGTAGTAATCTACACTAATATTATAAAGAGGAAAGATTTGATTTCGTTCGTTTGAATTGAATAGGCTCCGAAATGACCAGACTTATTTGAAACATTCTTTAACTGTTGGAATTTTACACTATCGCTGATAACCGTAGGCTCTATTTTATTTTACCTCTATATTATATACTATTATAAATGGGAAAGTGAGTTTGTTGGTTTGTTCCACTTTCACGCCGTAACTTCTAAACCGATTGCTTTGAATTTTTGCAGACGTAAAATTAGAAGTCCGGATTAAATAATAGGGTACTTTTTATCCCGGAAAATTTTGGTATTCCCGAGGGAAAACAAAATAATTGGTATAGATGGCGCTGTGTGTATTGGTATAGGCTACTTTTATCCTTTTGTGACGCGAGCGAAGCCGCGGGTGATAGCTAGTATTTTATAAGAGAAAAAGGGAACCGTGTGAAAAATTTGATGATATAACCTGATGTATGAAAAAACTACCGAAAACTCTCCTTATATTGCTGACTCTGTAAAATAATAGACAAAAAAGAGCAAAGTGATATACTAAAGTCTATTGAGGATATTAATATTAACGTAAAATTCCACGATATCTTCTGTCTAACTATTACAGTTATGCCATAATAACTACTTTTTCATCTAAAAATGTGCAATAGTAACATCGCGCCAATGACCAGTACGAGAGTAATATCCTAGAAAAAACAGTTTCTATCGCTGAAACCCGTTGGGAACCGACACTATACGGAATTTTTGTTTGGCTAAGAATTCTAATATCAATTTTTTTTTAAAATTTGAATTTTTTCCCAAAGTAGTCATTTCATTCTTGATAAGTGTTACATTTTTATCGCATTTCAATATTTTTCGTCAACATGGATACGTTAAAAATTCGAGTAATTATGGAATTTGAGTACCGTCGTGGCAACAACGCGGCACAAGCGACATCAACGACGTTTATGGAGCTAACACGAGAAACCAACGCACCGCCCGTTATTGGTTAGCTCGCTTCCGTTCTGGAAATATGACCTGAAAAATGAACCTCGCAGTCGTCCGAAGACTGGTCGACAATGACGAATTAAACGCGTTTGTGGAAGCAACACACAATCTACGAATGAATTAGCCACAGCTTTGAACGTTAGCTTTAAAAATAATATTAGTCCATTTGAGTCAAATGGGCCAGGTAAAAAAAGCTTGACAAATGGGTGCTCCTCGAACTCAATGATCGCAAGCGCGAAGTACGCGTCATTATGTGCCTTGCACTGCTCAACAGACACGCAAATGAAGGAATTTTGAACCGCATTGTTGCCCGAGATGAAAAATGGATTCTGTTTGATAACCGCAAGCGCTCAGTAAGTTGGTTCGATCTTGGTTCAGCACCTAAACCATGCCCTAAACGAAAACTTACCCCTAGAAATGTCATATTTCGATTAATACAAATAAAACATAATTGAAAAAAAATGTTTACATTTATTCATACTCAACGGCAATTTTTATAATTATTTTGATTAAACACGCTATTACTGAGTTAGTGTGAAAGAATTTTGTCCAATTTTTGTTTATTCCTCTCATCATTTTGCAGATGTAACAGGACAGACAGGACAGACACGACCGAGACAACAGACACGACATATACAACAAACACAACAGATACGACCGATACGACCGATACGACAAACACGACAAATACGACAAATACGACCGATACGACAAATACGACCGATACGAAATATACGACCCGACACGACAAATACGACAAATGCGACCGATACGACAAACACGACAAATACGACCGATACGACAAACACGACAAGTACGACCGATACGACAAACACGACATATACGACCGATACGACAAACACGATCGACACGACAAACACGACAAATCCGACAAATACGACCGACACGACAAATGCGATCGATACGACAAACACGACAAATACGACCGACACGACAAATGCGACAAATACGGCAAACACGACAAATGCGACCGATGCGACAAACACAGCCGATGCGACCGACACGACAAATACGACCGACACGACAAATGCGACCGATACGACAAACACGACAAATACGATCGACACGACAAATACGACAAATACGACCGACACGACAAATGCGACAAACACAGCAGATGCGACAAATCCGACATATACGACCGACACGACAAATGCGATCGATACGACAAACACGACAAATACGACTGACACGACAAATGCGACAAACACAGCCGATGCGACAAACACGACCGACACGACAAATACAACCGATACGACAAACATGACAAATACGACCGACACGACAAACACGACAAATACGACCGACACGACAAATGCGACCGATACGACAAATACGAGCGACACGACAAACACGACAAATACGATCGACACGACAAATACGACCGTTACGACAAATACGAGCGACACGACAAACCCGACCGACCGACTGGCGGTGCTCAGCCCACACAGAGCACATCGCCACCGTATGCTCCATCGTGTCCTCCGGGCGATCTTCACAGTGATGACAACCCGGGCGTTTCCTCCCGCCCAATCCGAAACAGGAACCTACCGAAACTCCCATGTCGTCTCTCAAGCCACTTCTCAAAGAGGGGACTTACCGCGCCAATGACAGTGAGTACACCTTGAAAACTCATAGTATTTCATTTTAGTCCGTCGAGACCAAATTTACTATGAAAGTTTGCTAGTCTCTTATAGTATATTCGTAGCACTGATATAAATCAGGCTACATTAATTATTGGAAATCCCAGAATAATGGAAAGTATGTGGGTAACCCCTGGACTCTATCTTTTAAAATACTGAACTTATTTGATTGAAATTTGGTTCAAAGATAATTTAAGACACTGGCACTAGATAGGACTTACGAATATTCTATCCTAGAAATCCCACTGGACAGAAATTAAGCGTTAAATGTCCGGGACTCTCTACCGCTTAAACGACTGAACCTATTTGTGTGCAATTCGGTACAACGATAGTTTGGGATTCGAAAAGGACGCCTGAGAGTTTCCGACCGCTATACCTATTTAATCCAATGAGTGTCATGTTGGCCCGGAGGTTTAAGACGCCAGCTTCTCATGCATGAGGGTGTGGGTTCGAAACCTACTAACGGCAAGTACCAATGTGACTTTTTCCGAGTTATATGTACTTTTTTAGATAATTCAGACACCACTGACAAACGGTGAAGGAAAACATCGTGAGGAAACCTGGGCTTATAATTTCTAATTATAAGTTTGTAATCGCCAACTCGCATTGAGCAAGCGTGGTGATTAATGCTGAAACCTTCTCCGTCTGAGAAGAGGCTTTGCTCAGCAGTAGGCATGTATAGGCTGTTGATGTACCTATTTAATCGGAATTTGGTACTACAATGGTTTGCAACCCGGGAAAGGACATAGTATAGTTTTTATTACTCAAACCGTACAAGAACAGATACTAAACCGGTGAAACACCTGAGGGATTGTTTTTCTTTTTGAAATCACGAAAATAAATTGATTTCACAATAAATATAACTTAAGTGCTGAATCGATTGTGATGAGATTAGTTACACAGCCTTGGAATTGACCTTGGAAAAGACTAACAAATATAAATTCCGCCACAGCCATTATTATACGCGGACAAAGTCGCGGGGAACAGCTAGTATTATTATATCCTGGAACAGCTTCACATGACAGTACCGAAGAATTACGATTGTAATTACGCAATATACGTATATTTATTACATGTTAGGTATTCCTTATAAAATAATTATAATATTTAGAATATAATCTGTGAAATTTACACCTAATATGT